TGGGGGTGGGGGGTAAACATCCTGAAGCTGATAGTTTATGACGTTAAACGGACTTAACTCGATACATGGAGGTTCTGTCGTTGTACATATATTTCCAATTGGATTTCTTCTTTGAATTTGCTTGTGATGTACTTCTGAATTTGCAGTCCAAGGAAGCAAAGAGAAGACTTCGGAAGCCTGCTTTAGTGCATTTAGCTTATGCCAAAGTTATAAAGAAGCTCAACTTCTGCGGCTAGGAAATTGATGGATGGAGGATGGTGATTGGCACATGAATCTGATCAATGAATACTGATTGCCAACTGTTATCTTGTTACATTTGTCCTTTGATGCATTGCCATCAGATTTTTGTGCTTCCATCTCTTCACCGATGCCGATGATTATTTTATTGTACCACCATCCACTTGTTTTCTAAACAATCAGTTGATAAAGGCTCCCCTGTGTTTTGTTATGCACACGGAGAAGATCACCATAGTGATGATAGACAACCTACTGCCAGTAAGGAAACTCTATGTCCCTTATCCTAGCTTCAGATTCAATGAGCTTCACATGTCAATGTTTTGACCTGGAGTTCAATTGTAGAAATTCAGAGGCCGTTGTTCTGTGCTGTGTTTTCTCGAATCACATTGTTCTGTGGTTGTGATTTGGAGATCTTACTGGTGAAACCATCTGTCAAGGTAAACTTTCGGCTGCATGATGAATGTTGTATTTGCTGGTAACTGGGCAACTCTGTGCCATGATACGCTATGGGAGCAGATTTAATCTGAGTACAAATGTGTACCCAAGGATAAAGAGCATCTTTGTTGGCCATATAGAAAGTTCTCTTTTTGGGCTGCAATTGGTCTAGAAAATTATGCATGAAACTAGAATATAATGGCTTGCATTGTCCAGTCTCATCAGAGACTATGGGCAACAGGGCTTGCATTGTGGTAATGAGATTCTTGTTGTCGTCTGAGCTTTTATCTGCGCATTCGGGCCTCAGGTTTTCCTTTCAGCATGTTCCTCCTTCCCTTTTTATCTTTCTTTTTAACCTTTTTTAACAGTGCGGCGTGGCTGGATTTCGCCATCAATCATCATGATGAAAAAGGAGATTGGTGGAACTTGAAGTGATAGATCAAGAGATTCAGAAACAGTTTCCGTGTTAGTAAACTACTACTCCATCCATCCGTCCCAAAATAAGTGTAAATCAGCGACACTAATTTTGGGACGGAGGGAGTATTAGATAGCTTCAAGAAGCGAGTGAAAACTGCAGGCATTGGTAGCTATATATTCCTTAAGCTGGGTTCAGTATAATTAACCAAGTTGTCATCGACAAGTACATTCGAATCTGGCCTTGCACGTTCTCTTGTTGCTAACTATAGTGACATGCTCTTTCCTTCAAGTAAACATAAAAAGGCCCCCCATAGAAGCTACTACTGACACAAGTAAAAAGTCTCATCGTCAGGACTGTGTAAGCGTCGATTGCTTGCTCGATTTCGTGGCCTTCAGCGGTAGAGGAAGATGATGAATTCTGGATCAGATGTAGTCGCAGAAGCCGGAGCTGAAAGGATCAAACAGCTGGTGCTTGCTGTCATTTTCCTGGATCTTGTCGATGGACGAGAAGACGTTGAGGGCGTCCATGTCCGCGAACAGGTCCAGGTCGCTCTCTTGCTTCAGCTGATGGTGAGCACGAGCACAGTCGACGTCGACGTTGGTGTTGCTACTATTACGAGCTGCCGCGGCCGCCAATGAAGAGGAAGAGGAGGCGGCGATCTTGGCGGTGGCGGCGGCGGAGGAGGAGGGGCGGGTTGATCCGGCGAGGGCGTTGCGCTGGGTCGGCCACGGGTGGTTGTGGTCGGAGGTGTAGGTGATGACGAGCATGTTGGGGTCGGTGCGGCTGCGCTCCACCTGCTTCCTCGCCGGGCACCCCTTGGAGCTGCTGCAGCGGTAGTAGCCCCTCGGGTACGGCGACCCCTTGATGGGCTTCTGCCCGTACTTCCTCCACGCCCACAGGTCTGACGGCACCACCTCGCCGCTCGTGCTATGCCGCCCGCTCGCTCCCGGCGCCGCCGTCGGTGCCGGAATGCACACCACCTTCTTTGACTGGCTCTTCCTGCACGCACGCAGCATCGATTATGGCATGTTTTAAGTTAACACGTAGTGCCATCGATCCGCGAGGAAGCTAGATTAGATAGATGAGGATATATTGACCTTGGCTTCATCGCAGCAGGTACACGAGGGTGGTGGACGATCGACATGTGCTGCAGGCGGTCGCCTATCTCCGGCAGTGGCGCGACCACCATGCCACCTCTCTCGATGTCCGGCCGACGAAGCATCCCAGCCAGTGGCTCTGGATGCGGCCGTGTATATGTCGTCGCCGTCGGTGAATGCAGCATGGAGATCACCTGATGATCGGACGAAGGAGGCCTGGTATTGCCGCCCATCATCATGGTCACCATTCCTAGCTGCTCATCACCATGCCCATGGCCGACAACCAGGCCACCTCCACCGCTTCCTCCTTCCAGCAGCAGCGAGCTGTACTCCTCCTCCTCCTCGTCGGTAGCCGGGGTTGGCAGCTGATGAGGCGGGTGCAGGCTTGCCCTGACGACATCAGAGAGATCTCCTTGTTCGCCCGGCGACAGCCAAAACAGGTCACACATGATCGACCGATGGTGGCAGCCGCGGCCGCCGATGTCGGTGTTGATTCACTGGTGCAGGTTATGATCGATCAGCCCTCAAGCGGAGCGCCGTGACCTACCATGCATGCATATCATCAATATTTACTCCCTCCTAGAGAGGAGTCAGCCGAGCGAGCGCTTGTTGTATATATGTGCATGAGGATAGCCAGCTAGCTACACATGTAAGTGATACAAATGAGTGGAAACTGGAAACTCGGGGCTGACTTTTAACACTAGGAAGGAAAAGCGGCGGCAAAGCAAGACGAAGGTGGTGGTGGTGCTACCATTATACAGGCGAAAAAGGAGACAACTTATATAGATCAAAGAAAATTCACGGTAACTAATTCGCCAGGGGCAGGGAGCATGCAGGTAACTATATCTAATCAACTGATCACAATATTTGAACGAACGGGCTACTGCATATGTCTGCTCACTGATAGAGCCAGCCATTCTGGTGGTCTTGTCTTGCACGGTCCAAATCAGCAACCCCCCTATCGACGATCATCCATCGATGGCTACTATCGTTTCAGCGATCGATCCATCCATCTCCTTTTTATTTTCTGTCAAAAAGGACCTCTCGCCGGCCCTCGATTTCAATACCTCCTCTAGCTTTTATCTTTTCTTTCGCCTTTTTTGTATCCCACCGATTCCAGCCACATCTTTAATCATTTCATGGGTTTCGGCGAGCACTAGCAGCTTGTTAAACTGGCCGGCAAGAAGGAGGTAGAAATGGGATGAATCGATCTATCCTGGGCAGCAGCTTTCTGAATTTACCGCGTCGTGCAAGCCCTCCCAGCTAGCACATGGCATATGTGGTATTTTCTCCGACAGGGTTATAAGGGCTAATATATCCTTCAAGATTTATTTTGACCATCAGAATTATACCAATAATATATGATATGTATGCCACAAGAAGAATTGTATTTGAAAGAAGTTTCCAGTGATATACTCCGTAACTTTTATGGCACACACCACATATACTATTATCATTGATGGTCAAAGTAATCTCACAGTACATATTAGGCCTTACAACCTTGAACAGATGGACTAAGCTCTCTTACAAATAATAAACCAAAAGGCATGCCCTCCAAGCCAAATGAACACAAAATGTCAAGCTAGCTAGTGACGATTAGGATTAATTATCATGAATGACGAGGAGTTAATAATTTGGGGATCACAACACTTGAGAGTTTCTGTGAGGATCTCATACCCTCTCCGGAGGGCGATGCTGAGGTAGAGGAAACAGAGTCAGAGGGGTATGTGACTCCTTTTTCATCGGAACGCACGACATGGACTGCTCCCGGTCAAGTTGACACGGTGGAGGTGCACGATAAACCGAAACGATCCTGGAAGAGGAAGGTTTATCCTGTATCAACAGTTCGTTGAAGTGTGAGAATCAAATTCAAGAAAAAATTCCACGATGATAAATGAAAGGACTCTTTTGGAATAGTAGAGGTCTAGCAGACTTGGCTAAAAAAAGCTTCCTTGCGGAAGCATCACTAGAGCACAATCTAGAGTTTATTGCCCTACTAGAAACGGGTAGGGATAACTTCACATCATAATTTCTTGGTACTTTATCTGGTGGTATAGATTTTGCATGGCATTGTCTCCCTACAAGGGGACTATCCAGAGGAATTTTACTTGGGGTTAAGTGTGAAACGTTAGAGGTGACGAACGTTGTCCACAGAGATTATGCTGTGAAGTTTCATGTTAAGTCAAAACTCGACGGGTTTAGGTGGGCCTTGGTGGCTGTATATGGTGCAGCTCAACACGAGTTCAAACCAGATTTTAATATCATAAGGAGAAAAGAAGAAAAGAATAATGAAAACTTCAATGTAAGGTGTCATTCATGTTTAATAAGATTATTGAGAGCCTTAATCTGAGGGAGATCGAATTATCAGGTAGACAGTTCACTTGGGCGAACGAGTTACCAAATCCCACATATGAAAAGTTAGACAAGGTGCTCACCAGTGTTGATTGGGAACAAAAATTCCCCCTTGTAACAGTGCAGGCGTTACAAAGGGCTATCTCTGATCACACCCCTTTACTGGTCGACTTAGGAGAAGCGACTCATAGGGGTAATAAGAAGACCTTCTGCGAACCAACCAGTGGTTGGATAGTTAGAGGGACTGTGGTATCCCCAGCCCACTAGGGTTCAGATCCTGGTGCTCGCATTTATTCCTGGATTTACTTCAGGATTTCCAGCGATGCGCATTCAGTGGGAGGAGACGTTCTCGTCGATGGCAAGGTGCCTACGGTGATTTCGTAAATTTCAAGATGATAAGCCGACTCAGTCTTTTGAAGGTGCTCATAGGGGTAGGGTGTGCATGTGTGCGTTCATAGGGGCGAGTGTATGCACGTGTATGTGAGCGCTTGCGTCTCTACTGTGTTAAAAAAACAAGAAGACCTTCTGTTTTGAACTAAGTTGGTTTGAGAAAGAGGGATTCCTAGATATGGTGGCTAGGGAATGGGCTAAGGATTGCGGTGGGTACTCGAGTGTCGAAAGGTGGCAAAATAAAATTAAGCATTTGAGACAATTTCTGAGGGGTTGGGCCAGAAATGAAAGCGGGATATATAAGCAAGAAAAAGAAAGACTTATCCGTATGATCGAAGCGTTAGATCTGAAAGAGGAATCTAATGTGTTATGCACGACTGAAGAGGCCGCTAAAATTGAGGCCAAGCAGAAACTTCGTGTTGTTCTTAGAGAAAAAGAAATGAAATGGGCACTGAGGGCTAAGGTTCTGAGAGTCATCCAATGGGAAGACGATACTCAGTTCGTCCATATGATTGCGAATGTCAAACATAGAAAAAAGAAAATCATCCAACTCGAACAGAATGAAGGTGCAGTGGTGGGACACGGAAATCTCAAGCTGTACATCTCAAATTACTATAAACAACTTTTCGGTACACCTGAGGACATTTTTGTGTCCCTTAACGAGCTCGCAGTCGGGGATATCCCCCAGCTCAGGAAGACGAAAAATGAGATTTTGTCTGTGCCATTTACAGAAAAAGAGGCGTTCAAAGCAGTATCACAGATGAAACATAATAACGCACCTGGAACAGATGGATTCCCAGCAGAATTCTACAAGAAATACTGGGACATCATAAAGGGTGACCTCATTCCGATGTTCCATGAATTCTTTAATGGCCACCTACAACTTTTCCACCTTAACTTTGGAACAATAATGTTGTTACCAAAGAGGGAGGAGGTAGTGCGTATTGAGCAGTTTAGGCCTATATGTCTTTTAAATGTGAGTTTCAAAATCTTTATGGAAGTAGGCACAAATAGATAGACATAGATTGCCGATTCGGTGGTACAACCGAGTCTGGCGGCATTCATGCCAGGGAGACATATCCTTGAAGGGGTTGTTGTCTTACACGAAACTCTACATGAAATCCATTCGAAGAAACTAGATGGGGTGATCTTCAAGGTGAATTTTAAGAAAGCGTGTGATAAGGTCAATGGCCCTTCTGAAGGAAATATGCCCTAGAGGCAATAATAAAGTTGTTATTTATATTTCCTTATATCATGAAAAAGGTTTATTATTCATGCTATAATTGTATTAACCAGAAACTTAGTACATGTGTGAATATATAGGCAATACATAGTGTCCCTAGTATGCCTCTACTTGACTAGCTCGTTAATCAAAGATGGTTATGTTTCCTAACCATAGACACGTGTTGTCATTTGATGAACGAGATCACATCATTAGGAGAATGATGTGATGGACAAGACCCATCCGTTAGCTTAGCATTATGATCGTTTCAGTTTCATTGCTATTGCTTTCTTCATGACTTATACATGTTCCTCGGACTACGAGATTATGCAACTCCCGAATACCGGAGGAACACCTTGTGTGCTATCAAACGTCACAACGTAACTGGGTGATTATAAAGATGCTCTACAGGTGTCTCCGAAGGTGTTTGTTGGGTTGGCATAGATCAAGATTAGGATTTGTCACTCCGTGTTTTGGAGAGGTATCTCTGGGCCCTCTCGGTAATGCTCATCACTATAAGCCTTGCAAGCAATGTGACTAATGAGTTAGTTACGAGATGAAGCATTACGAAACGAGTAAAGAGACTTGCGGTAACGAGATTGAACTGGGTATGATGATACTGACAAATGAATCTCGGGCAAGTAACATACTGATGACAAAGGGAACAACATATGTTGTTATGCGGTTTGACCGATAAAGATCTTCGTAGAATATGTAGGAGCCAATATGAGCAACCAGGTTCCGCTATTGGTTATTGATCAAAGATGTGTCTCGATCATGTCTACATAGTTCTCGAACCCGTAGGGTCCGCACGCTTAACATTCGATAACGATTTGTATTATTAGTTACGTGATTTTGATGACCGAAGTTTGTTTAGAGTCCTGGATGAGATCACTGACATGATGAGGAGTCTCGAAATGGTTGAGACATAGAGATTGATATATTGGAAGGTTATGTTCGGACACCGGAAAGGTTTCAGATTGGTTCGGACATTTTTCGGAGTACCAGGAGGTTACCGGAACCCCCTGGGGGAAGTAGTGGGCCTTAATGGGCTTTAGTGGAAAGGAGAGGAGGGCCGCAGGGTGGCCTCACCCCCCCCCCCTTGGCAGGTCCGAATTGGATTAGGGAGGGGGTGGCGCCCTCCTCTTTCCTTCTCCCTCTCCTACTCCTTCCCTCTCTCCCCCTCTTGGAAAGGAAGGGGACTCCAACTAGGATTGGGAATCCTAGTTGGACTCCCCATGGCGCGTGCCCCTCCTGGCCGCCGGCCTCCTCCCTCCCTCCTTTATATACGGGGGCAGGGGCACCCCAAAGGCAATTATTCTCTTAGCCGTGTGCTATGCCCCCTCCACAGCTTAACACCTCGGTCATATCATCATAGTGCTTAGGCGAAGTCCTGTGCCGGTAACATCATCATCATCGTCGCCACGCCGTCGTGCTGACGAAACTCTCCCTCATCCTCAGCTGGATCAAGAGCTTGAGGGACAT